TTAACTATCCATGAGAGAGTAAAATTTACCATCTGGAAGGTGCTAAAAAACGTCTGTGTGTCAAATATACATCCTCTGGGGGATTTACACTAAAGGAAAGAGTAAGCATTACCATTTGACTGAGGGTAAGCCAAAAGGGTATAATACTCTCTAAGAGGGTAAATCACAGAGTAGATGGCATGCTACTTTTTAGAGGAGGGTCAGTTAAAGAGTTACCCTTCCACGGCGTGTAACCTCGAAAATGTTACCCTCTAGACGAAAGTAAATCAAAAGAGTTTACTATACAGAAGATGGTAAAAAACGTCTGTGTGTCACGTTACCCCTCACTGACGAGTTTACTCTTCATGAAAGAGTAAAATTGACCATCTGGAGGGTGGTAAAAAGCGTCTGTGTGTCAAGCATACCATGCTATGGCGGGTTTACCCTTCAGGAAATGGAGGTTTTCAGTGAACAAAGCGTTCAGCGATGCACACGCGGTAAATAAACATTACGATACAACTTGATTGCAACTTGAATATGAACACTTAAAATGAATACTTGAATATAAATAATAATAAAGCTCCCTCGAATTGGATAAGGCACAGCGCACAGCATTTGAAGTGAACGGCAGCGTTCCTGGATTGTCGCCCGTCTACGTGGGATAATTAACCCTCGCCCTGGCAGGGCATTTTTCATAACACGGCCTGGCAGGGGGGGGGGTCGATGCGACCCCCCCCTCGCGATTGGCTCCTATGGCACATAGAAACACCAAATTTGGTAGGTAGGTAGGCCCCCTGGAGTTCTCGCCCCTGTGCAAATTTGGTTGCTCTAGGTCAATATTTAGGGGGGTTTTGGGGGGTATAAATGTAAAAATTTCGCTAAAAACAGGCCAAAAGTTTTTCGCTTATAACTTTTGATCTAATAAAGATAGAGAAAAAAAGAAAAGCACCAGTGAACTCAGCACGTCAAGGCGCGTCGAATGATATACTTTTTAGCTTGCTTAAGTGTACTTAAAGTTTTTCTTAAATTTTAAGTAAACTTAAATCAATAAATTAAGTTCAAGTTAACCAAACTGCATCATATCGCATATCATTCGATTCGGCTGATCACCAGGAACACAATGGTACCATTTTTTAAGCTCTAGCGTCATTATGTGCCAAGTTATTGGCAAAAACGTCATTTGACCTCAGTTGACCACATTTGACCTGACCCATGGATAAGTACACCAAACAACGAAGCACCAAGTGACCTGCTGTTAAGTACCGTGGTTTCAAAGCACAAAAGTGATAGAACGAAGCGGATATCTCCAGTATTTTCCGAATTTAGTATTTTCCCATAGGCTTAACATTACGACGTAATGACCTCTAACTGACCTCAGGTCAGTGACCTCAAAAAAGCCGGAATATATGTTATACAACTCGGTGAACTTAGCACATCCTGAAAGTTTGAAAGAAATCAGTCGAAAACTGTGAGTTGGACAGGTGCAAAAAGAAAATTGAAATTTGACCATGACCTTGTACCGGTTTTTCTGACCTGGTGACCTGACCCAAGGTCACCCGGACCTGAAATTTTCAGCTCATATGTAAAAAGGTTGCCCCATAGGCTGTGCCAAATTTGGCGGCGCTGCGCGCCGTCGTTTTTACGCTATCTTCGAAAAACCTTAGGGGGGGGGTCGCATCGACCCCCCCCTGCCAGGGCGAGGGTTAAACTGCATCACTACAGTGCATGGCTTTTTCTAAGTCGCTAACAAAATGCATCACAACAAAATGTATGTACCTACTTACAACACTCTGCCACGTGGCCGTGCACGGGGTTCTGTTAGCCAGATCAAACAAGCACCACTCAACAGCACGCAATGCTCTATCACATCGGTACTTACAATAAAATGTCCGCGCAGAGGCTCTATAGGCGATGAACAGCACACAAACACAATCACCAACGGCCACGTGGCGCCGCACCGACACTGCTCACACCCTCCCTCGGAGACCAACGACGGAAAACTGACAGATGCGCGCGCGGCCTTCAAGCTTCAAACGGCCGATCTCGTTTTTGATTGGCTGATTGATACTCTTTCAAAATATTATCTTCACGAGGGTAAACAAGATCCACGCATGAAACGACCACCTGCACACGAGGCACGATACCCAGGAGGAAAGAGTTTTCGTCATGTCTAGGTTTGCGAGAGTAATATTGATATTTACATGGTAATAACACTCTTTGCTGGTGAATAACTTCAATTAAACCACGTACCGTTACCATGCACATAATGGTAGCAGCGAGGTACCCTTTCAATATACTCTTATCTTGCGGGTTTGGTAAAAATGAATCCTCCAGGAGGTGGTAAAAAAGTTTTGAGTGTGCTGGCTCATCTATATAACCCGGGACATCACGAGAGATACTGACATGGCGAAAGTGGCAAAGACGGAACGTGAAACCGGTTTTATAACTTCTAATCGGAACCGGCTTGCATTCACTTGCTGTCACATGATGTCGATTTGTGCCAATTTTAACCCGCGCACCGACGGGGGTCTGCGCCAACTTCGCACCGACGGGGGGGGGGGGCGGATGACCGCCCCCCCCCTGAGATCTCGAGAACGAAGCAAGATAGCGACAAGCGGTAAACGGCATCGGATACGCACGGCCAAGATCTACAATTTTTACTAAGGTCATTTTCAGGTCAGGTCAAAGATGACGTCACAGGGGTCGAAAAAGTCAAAATGGCGGCGCTAGATATGGAGAGAGTTTTTCTCAAATAACTTTCGAATTAGTCAAGATAGGAACAAACTAAGGGCATCATCGTGATCCTCTCGTCAATCCGCATCGAATGATATATATGTTGACCTCGAAAGGTCAAGGTCAAAGGTTGACCTCAGGTCACGTGACCTCGAGGTCATCATGTATATCATTCGATGCGTCTTGACGAGCTGAACACAATGAGACCATCCACGCGTCTGTATCTTGTTCCTGTACGGAGTTATTGGCCAAAAACCTTTGGTGACCTTTGATGACGTCACATGACCTCACAGCTGCCCAACAGCAAAACAGACCTCAAGGTAGTGAAGGTTGATCGTATATGAAGTCATGTATGGTATATGGGGCCATTCCGACCCGTTTTATTGGTAAAAACAGGGAGTTGATTTTTCCCCCATTGACTTATAATGGGGAGGTCGCGAAATTGACCTGACCTTAGGTCACCGATATCAAAATTCCGAGATATACAAATTGTAGTTACTAATGACCTTATAATATCCTGCGACTTTCAAAGGCCTCCGACATCTACTGTAGCTCTGGCACGGTGACAAAGTTGCAAAAAAGTGACTTGAGGTTGGGTCATTCAAAGTGACCTGGTGACCTGACCTTAACAGGTAGGAAGTTCAAACTTGCACACCAGGTGTAAAATTGATGAGGCTATAGTCATACCAAATTTCGCGGCGCTACGCGCCGCGGTTTTCCCGCTATTCGCGAAAAACCTCAGGGGGGCGGATATCCGCCCCCCCCGTCGGTGCGCGGGTTAAAGTATATGCTAGGCCTTGGGGTGTGTCATTGCATTGGTGTCTCGAATGGTTAGCTTGCCCTCGACAATGTTCCGCTGGTGAAGTATAATAATTGGTTAAGTGTTCTGAGTCCTGGAACATATAGAATATTGGGCCCCATGCATTACAGCCACACCGCACATGAGCCTGCTCCTTAAGAGCTACTCACATCGAATGATGATTGCCGTTTAGCCTGAAACATGACATTTGAAGTGATGAGGATAAATATTTCATGTCCTGAGCATTGATCAGTAGGGCTTCCGGCTTGAGGAAAGAAGTGTGATGAAAACAGTCAGCATTCAGGTGAAGCTCAAATATAAAACCTTTTACAATCGTAGGTAGTGTTTACGCACCGTATCTGGCGCAGATCAGTAAAAGCACCTTGCAATCCATTATACCTGCTATTTTTTGTAGTCTGTCATGAAATTCAAGAACAAAATAAACACTGCTGCTATTTGCACCACGGTTTTCTAGCGATTACGCGACTGTGTGATGACAAGCAATAAGCAGAGCCCGTCAGAAAAGCCTGACCCGGGCGATTCCTAGTACCTTCTGGACTCGTCGCTAGATGGCAGGAGCGTCGGGCGCCTGAAGGTATACTGCACCGCACGGCATTCTGCCATGAACTGCCGGACTGCGGCTCTCGCGCCCGAGCTGAATGGTGAATAGACAATAGACATGTATTTTTGTTTCAGTCATTCGGAGCCGCGCTCAATGCTAAGCCGGTGGTGAGGGCAGGTTCTCTTTAGAAGAACACCCTCTCCGGGGTGGCCGTTTGAGCGGCGGGATGGCCTGTCCTATCGGGACATCTTCGTCCCACCGGGACGGTCTCTGTCGCTGCAGCACACCGTCGGTGGTCCGCACAGTGAACAGTCCAATGTCTACACCTTATCTTATCATCCCATAGCTCTGCAATGTCCTGTTCAGGCCGAGAGAGCTTGCTCCCAACAAAGAAGAAAATGTTTCGTTTATGCCTAACCACAGTCAAACTTATTCCTTGTCAATGTATCCCATGAGCAACCTCAGCTCAGCGTCATATTTTAACATGCTTCTACAGAGGTTGGCGACCTTTTCCTTCCATTGCTCATTAAACGATGAATTACTCCACGCACTTATCCAACTATCCTGGCAGATGGGCCAGATGAGCGTCCGTCGATTCTTTTCGAACGGCTTCCCCGAGTCATTACAGCAGATTCCGCACCCGTATGTGCATCTGTGCGTGTCACTTTCCGATCTTATCAGACCGGCTTTGTGGGTCGGCCGCGGCGCCGTCCGCCTAGCAACAGTCTCCTGTGACCCACTGGCAGACGGCGCTGCAAGGCCGCCGGCCGGTCGGCGCCCCACGCGCCGCGCCGCCGCCGGGTCGCCGACCGGCGGCGCCGGCGCCGCCAACTCGGTCACCCTCCCCACTGTGCGTGAGCCAGCGCGTGGCCGGTACGCATAAGGCGGCGGCGGCGGCCATGGCGGGCTCAGAGGCCGGCCGGCGGCGCCGCTGTGCGCACCTCGGCCGGCCTGCAGCGGGGCCTGCAATGTGACACCAGCCTGCAGCGGCGGCCACTGCCAGTGTGCGTGTGCGTGTGTGTGTGTGTGCGCGTGTGTCGTGGCGAGTGCCCATGGCGCCGCCCGCACAGTTCGGAGCATACGGGTCATAGTTAAGGTCGCACGTCCGGCTGCCGCCGACGCTGCTCGCTGGTGCTTGGACCGCATCTACCTCGCTAGTGTTTAGTGGTGCCGAGCAAGTCTTTCAAGTGCCTTCCTCATGGGAATCAGCCTCGTGGCGCCAGAGGCCCAGTCATCTGTGTTTTCTACTTTTATACGGTGAGTACCTAACCGGCGCTTTTCGTCTCTCTTATTTGATTCTGATGTACGAATTTTCCACGTCAAAAGTAACTTTTTAAATCTCGAAATCAAGTTATCGTTAAAATAAATAATTGAATAAAAATGTTTGCTGAGTGCCACTAAAAGTCTTTAGTAAATGGCTATTGAAAGTGACACGTTAGTACATCACTTGTAGCATTTTATTAAATTAATTTCTGAAATTTCACAAGAGGTTTACGTAAAAGCTTAAATTTTCACTTACAAGGCCCCAGGTCACTTCATTCCGGTGAGGAATGCCCCGCTTCAGCTTTGAGGTCGTGCAACGCTGTGACCTGTAACTTTTGACAACTTCCGAGTCTTTAATATTTCTTTGACATTTGAGCATTTCTGGAAATTTCTACCCGCAAACTTGTTTCGTTAATCTTCGCCGGTGTCCTGACCTATCAAACGTTCAAACGCCCTCGGGCCGTTGAAGCTTACGGGCTGTGTGTAGCAACATTTCCACGGACTCCCCCGGTGACATATCGGCTGCGAGGGCGGCTGGGAATCTGTATCCGGGCTCACGTGCCCGGGACGGCCCGCAGCCTGACCTCGGATCTCCGGCCTGTCCTGACCTTTGGTCGACGGGGAGGCCCGTGATTAGATTTACACTGAGCGCTGAGTGCGGCGGCGGGCCGTCTATTTCGGCCGGCCGCGGTGAGAGGGATGCACTGACACTCTGCTCCCGTCCGTTCCAGGTGTGAGCGTGTGTGCACGGAGTGAGTGCGCGTCTGAGGCCAGATCAGGTCCTCAGACGCTGAGACCCGCGGGACTGTTCAGACTCGACGGAGGAAGTGGAGCGATATACGCCGGTGGCATACAAAACTGAGGTAAGTTTCTACTGGGATCTTCAGTCTGGGATGGATCGGTTTGATTCGTCTTGTATGAATAAGATACGAAACTAATTAAAGATATGCTAAACCAATTGGTTTAGCATATCTTTAATTAATTTCGTATCTTATTCGTACAAGACTCTCACATTTGCTCAATGAACTTCCTTGCGAACATGACAGTTTTTTCAATCCATAAATCATAATTCGCTTGTATCTTTTTTTTTGTAGAATAATCCGAAGAAGTTTTCTAAAACCTGCTAACCTAATTTCGTTTAATGCATACTTTACCACCACATTGCATTTTGAACACGTGTCTCGAACTACCCTCCTTCGCCCCTCCCCACCTCCATGTCATTCCCCTCTTTCATCTCCCGTCCTCCGACCCCTTTCCTCGCTCCTGCCGCGTCCAGTACCGTCCGGCCGTTAAAGGGACCCTCCCACCTTAACATTAGATTTGAGTTGAGATAGCCAAAATGGGGTCCCTGGCTCACAATTACCGGTTTCGGCACTCACAACATCGAGAAATGCCTTAAATCGGAAATATTGAATTTCAAAATTGCAGCATTTTGATTCAGAGGGGCTAATGCTTAGGAATACCCCTCTGAATGTGTGACGTCAGCGCAAATATCTAACGATTTTTAAATGTTTGACTAAAACGTTTTGTAGCACGCGGTGGTATATGCTATTTGCGCGCAACATCTGCCGCAAACGCCGCACTTCTAAAATAAAGTCGCTAGAAACAGCGGAGATCCCAAAAAAAGTAAACAAAAGTAAAAGTCTAATATCTTGAAAACCGGTGAATATTTTTCGGTGAAATTTGGTAGATATTCGTTTTCGCTCTTTCTGAACCGAGCAACATCACTTTCATGCCAATTTATAAACTTTTTTGAAGGTGGGAGGGTCCCTTTAACCCTGGCCTCGTCATGCGCCGCACTCGGCCACTCTCCCTCTCCGTCGCTCTGCCGTAACGATTACGGCGGCCCGGCCGCACGCACACGCCGCTCGCGGGGCGTCATTGACCTCTGTTGCCAGCCGCCCCACTAACGGGAGGGAGGGGAGAGGAGAGTTCTGCGTGAGAGTGCGTTCTGCGTACGCCGCCGCAGCGCCGCCGGGGTCGGCGACCGGCCGGCACGTGCGGAGCACCGTCGGCTGTCCCCGCTCCCATTGGAAGTGGGGAGGGGAGCTGGTCCACTAAGCGTGAAAGTGCGTGTGGATTGGGAGGAGGTGGGGGGAGGGGGTGTTGGATTGCAAAGTAGCGGTCCGCCCAGCAGCTGCAAATCGGCCGGAATCGGGTTCTGGCTGCAGCCGAATGAGTTTCCCTTCAATGAAAGACGGGTTGAATGGGAACTGGGTCGCTTGCGCAACCGTTTTACTTCACTTCACCATATCGGCCTGGGTTTTCACGGGCCATAGTCTGGGCCCGTGGGTTGATGGGGTCGTACCCGGCTGTGCCCTTGTCTATACGGCGCTATTCCCGGAGGCGCGGGCGGCGGTGCACGGGGCCGCGGCGCGTAACTCCGGCAGGCCATGCAGCCGATTCGGCCGACGGCCGGCCCCACATAATCGGTTCGTCGTACGTCTCGATGGGGCCGCTCTGGAAACTACTTATACGCGGCGGCGGCGGCCCTAGGCCGGCAATTAGCGGTCGTCATCGCGTTTTATCAGCGTGCCCATTGGCGGACGGCCGGAGCCGGGCCAGACGGGCGCTGCGAACCGCTGAGCGGTATGAGGCCGGCGGCCGGACGGGCCTGTGGCAGCGGCCGTGGACTCGGCGACACTGAGCGGGCCCAGCCGCCGACTGGCAGACAAAGGCCGTGTGCCTCTGCATGTACTGTCTGAGACAGCCGTGGGGGGTTAGGTCTGCAGATGCCGAGTCGGTCTCGTCGTCTGGCGCGGCTCGGCGCCGGTTTACATCTCAGACTCAGACGGCGCGCGCCGGCGCCGCATTCCACACATTGCAGCGGCGGCCGGCCGACTGGCTCGGTGTCCGACTACGGCGGCGGCGTCCGGCCGGCCCCGCTGACCTGGTGGGGGAGTATCGAGCGCCGCGCGCCGCCACGGCCGCCGTACGGCCGGCGCCGGACATGCCGTGTCTGGTGACGTCACGGGTCGGATGTCCGGCGCCGCCGGCGGCCAGGTGACGCGCCGCCGCCGCCGCCGCCGCCGTCCCGGGGGACAGGTGGGTGGCGGAGGTGGGAGCAGGGGAGGGGAGGGTGCCGGCCGGCCGGTCGAGTTGGCCGCCGGCGCCGGGCGGCCAGTCAGTCGGCCTGGCGAACTGGTGCGTGGGGGAGGTCGGTGCACGCGGCGTCTGCCCCGTCTGTCTGTACCGCTGCCGACAGTCCGCCCGGAGCCGTCCGCTGAACGGTGAGCAGCAGCAGACAGTGAGGTCTTCCCGTCATTTGCGTGGTATCATTCTTTCCTGGCTGGTCCTCGACGTTTTCCAACTTCCTTCATTCCCGTCTCATCAACCCATCTCCAATTCTCCAAGCCTGACCCTGTAATGTGCCTGTGTCGCGAATGTGTCGATCTCCGCTAATTTCTCACTCCATTCACAGGGTTTGCCTGGTCGTGTCGATCGTCTACAGCAGTGATGTCTCCTCACTCATCTGGTCGTCTTCCCGGCGTCCCGGTGCGCCATCCTCCAGCGGCGCCGGACTCTGAGTTGCCAGCTCTGCTCCGTGACGGCCTCCGCCGCCCACCGCGGCTGGCACGTCCGGTGCCGGCGCCCGGCCGGCCACCGCCGCGGGTCTGGCTCGGAGGGTGACGGGAGCTCGGATAGCTCTGGCCGCCCGAGCTGTGCAGACACCAGCCGGCTGCCGTGCAGAGACGACAGAGAGTCAGTCCCGGCTGCAGCTCAGCGCGGTGTGCCTTCACATCTCTCGCAGCCAGCAGTACCGACTGGAGTCATCGAAAGGAGATCTAGGGCGACCAGCAAACAGTCAGGAACCATGGATGACCGCTAAAGCTGCTGCTCTACTGTGACCAATCGCGGTACCGGCCCAGGCATCTGCCGACATTATCACTGCCATCGTGATCGTCCGCTGCCACTGCCACCAGCAAGTCACTGCCACCAGCAACCCACTGTCCCAGCGAGTCACTGCCATCAGCGAGCCACTGCCCCAGCAAGTCACTGCCATCTTCATCAACGACTGAGTTCTCCAATCTACACCAACCAACGGAGAACGACGTCTGCAGGGACGTCGTGATCGTCTCCACGATTCCGGAGAGTCTACCAACGGTCCGGCGGTTCCCAGTGGAGAGTACGTACGAATGCGTACGTATGGGGCGATGGGTGACACATACGTGCAAGTAGCGTGTGTGTTTCATTGGGATGGGTGAGGGTTTGATGGCACATACACTTGCGTATGTGTAGACGGTTACTACGTATGTTTCTTTACGTAGTATGTGTGAGTAGGTGTACTTAAAGCAGGAGAAACAGGGTAACAGTAAACGATTCGGGCACATCACTGGGCCCGAAGTGTGTAGGTAAATTTGAAATACCAGCGGTACACTGCCGTCAGTTTCATCGTATAACCAGCTACCACATTGCCACGTTGACCAATCACTTTGCTGCCATTAGATTGTAGATTGTGTGACCAGCGTAACTACACTGCCCTAGTAGTTTGTAGTTGGATTGACATGGGTAAACCGTAGTTTAATTGACCATCCACAACACTGCCCAACTAGCTTGTAATTTGAGTAAGACGGATAAATGTAGTTTAAATTTACTTGACTAGCTATAATACTGCCAATTTAGCTTGTAATTTGACCAGCCTTATTACTGCCCCATTAGTTTGTAACCTGACCAGCCATACACGGCCATGTGTGTTTATAGTTTGAATGACACGGGTAAACCGTAGTTGATAGACCAGCCACTATACTGCCATGTGTGTTTGTAGTTTGAACGACACGGGTAAACCGTAGTTGATAGACCAGCCACTATACTGCCATGCGTGTTTGTAGTTTGAGCAGCCTTAGTGCTATGTAAGTTTGTAGTTAGACCAGCGACAATACTGCCACTAGTCAGTAATTTGTAGTTTGAATGATACGGGTAAAACCGTAGTTTGAATGACAAGCTTCAATGCTGTTAGATTTTAGCTAGGCCAGCGTCAACACTGCCGTTAGGTTTTTGGTAGCAATGAAACGGGTAAACCATACTTGAAGGACCAGCCACAACACTGCCCAATTAGTTAGTAATTCGAGTGATACGGGTAAATCATGTTTGATGGACCAGCCACAACACTGCCCAATAGTTTGTAATTTGTGCTACTGCCCCGTTAGTTTTTAAAGGGACCCTCCCATCTTAACATTAGATTTGAGTTGAGATAGCCAAAATGGGGTCCCTGGCTCACAATTACCGGTTTCGGCACTCACAACATCGAGAAATGCCTTAAATCGGAAATATTGAATTTCAAAATTGCAGCATTTTGATTCAGAGGGGCTAATGCATAGGAATACCCCTCTGAATGTGTGACGTCAGCGCAGATATCTAACGATTTTTAAATGTTTGACTAAAACGTATTGTAGCACGCGGTGGTATATGCTGCTTTGCGCGCAACAAATGCCGCACTTTCAAATAAAGTCGCTAGGAACAGCGGAGATCCCAAAAAGTAAACAAAAGTAAAAGTCTAATATCTTGAAAACCGGTGAATATTTTTCGATGAAATTTGGTAGATATTCGTTTTTGCTCTTTCTGAACCGAGCGACATCACTTTCATGCCAATTCATTAACTTTTTGGAAGGTGGGAGGGTCCCTTTAATTACACTTTCTCTCCCTCGGATACCAGAGATTTGCGGACCAATAATAACACTGCCACTAGAATTTCATTTACTGCCGTCAATATCTCCCCGATCAGACTGGCCATTCAACAAAAAAGTTGCATTTTATCGTTTATAATAACCGTTAATCTTCACGCAAACTTCTGAACTCTGCTTGATTGCTTGAAAATTGTAGAAAAATTGAATTTATGTCAGGTGAATGTGCTATAAAATTTAAAATTTCCGGTATATTCTCCAAACTGTAGAGCAATTCTTACCACATCATCTATGGGCTCCATCGAATGCAACAACTCAACCGCATTGGACTTCATTGTATAACTGTATATACCGCTCTTAGATGATAGTTTAGTTAGAAAGCACTACGGGTGCCTTGTTTGAATGACCAGCCACTACACTGCCGTTAGTTTGTAGGTAGAACGATACGGGTTTGATCGTAGTTTGATTGACCAGCCTCAATGCTGCCTCTAGTTTGTAGTTTGAATGATACGGGTCACTTGTAGTTTGGTAGCTGTTTAATAGACCAGCCACACTACTGCCCTGTTAGTTATTATAGGATTAAATTGGACTTACTCCACAAGAGAATCGTTTTCGGTCGGAGCTTTCGACATGTATTACATGTCCTCTTCAGCGAAGGTCGGTAATCGGGGCGAAAATAAAACGTTCGGGTCGAATCGAATCGCACAAGATGTCGGTGAGCTGCGCAGAGTTATTTAGGCCGCTTGAATTATAAAATAAGCAAGACTGAAACACGTGACGACAATAAGAGTACACTCAATGAGAAAGTCTACCAAAAAACAAGAACGCATACCACACATGTCTCTAAGCCCTGTTAGTTAGTAATGTCACCAGCCTCAATACTGCCCTTTTACTTGGTAAATTGACCAGTCATAACACTGCCCTGTTAGTAATGTCACCAGCCTCAATACTGCCCTAGTAGTTGATAAACTGACCAGCCACCCCACTGCCCTGTTAGTTAGTAATGTCACCAGCCTCAATGCTGCCTGTTAGTAATAGTGACCAGCAACTACACTGCCATGTGTGTTTGTAGTTTGAATGTCAATGACACGGGTAAACCGTAGTTGATAGACCAGCCACTACACTGCCGTTAGTTCGTAGTTAGGTTATAGCGGGTAAATTAGCTGAAACACTGCCATTAACTCAACGGGGGATCTAATTTTTGTCTCTCCACACCTTTGGTTTTTGTGTTGCACAGCTGTGTAACTCCTAATTCCGATATATACATCATCTCGTATCCTGCGTTTGCACTTTTTGAACCTGTTTTGTACTTTTGTAGTCTTGTTGACGTTTGTACTAAATGATATTTTCACAATTTTATATTGTGCGTTTGTACTTTCTTACCGCGTGTTTGTACTTTTCTAGTGTGTATGTTTGTATTTTTCTAGGGGTTTGTACTTTTTAGGGCGTGTTTGCACTTTTGTACGGGATGTTAGCAGCTAGTCATGCGCGTTTGTACTTTTGTAGAGTGTGTTGTTTCTACTGGTGTGTGTTTATCTCTGTCTGCGTCTGGGTGTAGGTACTTGTGCTCCGCTTTGCGGTGAGCTCACTGCGGCTCGCGGCGGCCTCTGGTCGCCCGTGTCCGCCACACCTCGTACTCTGCTCATCGCTGCGGGCTGGTCGCCTGCGGCTCGCCGCCCGGGCACCGCCGGCCGGCGCCGACCCAGTTTAGCGTCCTCTATACAACGCTGGTGCTGCCACCTGCCGCCGCCTGGCCGGACCGCTCTCATAGAGCGGTCACCGGAGCTGGCGGCGGAGAGAAGGCAGATCGGCGGCTGCACCGGCCGGCCGTCCGAGGCGCAGCCGAAACCGGGTGTGCCGTCCCGAGCGGGATCATCGAGCTTTGGCTTGCAACTGTTAATGTTAGATGCGACATTTGCACAGCTTTTGATATTGGTCATTTATATTGGTGTTCCGATTGTGGAAGTAGTCCAAATACGATTAGCTTGGCAAGAAAGACAAGGGCTGGGGAAGCAAATAAGCAGCTCATATACCACTTCAGCTTCGAATTGATAGCGAATACCAAGTTTTCTGTATCATGTTTGTGAACTGATTCGTGTCTAGGTCTGCGTGAATGTCTTTTTCTGAGGCTTGTAAATATCTTAACTCGTAGATAGGTGGTGTGGGTAGTGGCTAAGTCTCATCATACTTGACTAAATGTTCTGAATGGTCTGAATAAAATTTTAGTAGCTAACAAGGTGTTTTCCAGGATTTTTTTTTTGCTTGTGTATCCTCTGCCCAAACCAATTAGCGTACCAACTACCAAAGGTCATAACTAGACAACCCAGGCTCAGGGCTGGCAGTTATTTAAGTCATTAGAATGCGCGGTGTAAAGTATGTATTTATTGAAAACAATGTCGTTGAGAGGGCATACACACAGTCCGATTAGTACAGGCTACATCCAACTAACGCTCTGGCAAAGTTGCCAAGACACATACGTCTCCGAAACAAAGTAGGTAAAGGTTTTCGCGAAGTCAGGCTGCGCTGTCTGCTTTCACCTTTGGTCATGAGTCCGGTCAGGAATCCTGTATCAGGTATCAGCAGTAAGAACATCCGCCAAATCCTCCGCCGGGGCCACCGACGCCGAAGTTTCGGAAGGCACCGCCGAGAGCACCGAAATTGCTGATGCCGAAGTTTCCCTGGAAGCCCCGTCCGTAGGGGTAGAAGTTGCCGTAGGAGTTGGGCCGGTTGTAGTAGTAATTGCTGCCCTGGTAGAAGGGCTGGTTGAAGTAGTTATAGTTGTTGCCGAGAAAGGGGTGCCGTGGTAGGGCAGCCGCAACAGCCACTAGGGCGAGGATGACCAGCTGAAAAAAAAAATGTAGGTATATGGCAGCGTCAGTCAACCGTAATTGTTCTGAATAATTGCTGACCTAAGACCTTCAACTATGTACAGATCCTGACACACTGTGTGATGTTTTTATCACAAAATCTAATAAAGCTTGAAAGCTCCGTAAGTTTTCAATGGTAAATCGAAAAAAAGAATCCACTACTAATACCGACTGATCGATTAAATGGAAAATGTAGTGTGATTAGATGCATCCATAGAATGCATATGCATCTTATTTTCGATATCGGTGACCTATTCTATAGCGTGCTTAATTGAGCCGATACTTCTGAAAATCGCGGAACGCGAACAGCAAAGCATAAACACCAAGTAAAGCGCCTTTTGGGGCGACAAACGAGCGAGCGAGAGGGCGAGTCTTGCACGTGCGGCTTTGCGAGGGGGTACTTCCAACAGACTTGTGCAATGTGCACGGCACTTTACTAGCCGGTCTCTAGCGATCTGCCCGTTTTGGGCGCAATCGGCCCAGCGCCGTTCTCGAGACCTGAAAGCGGCTCCCTGCACGTGCACACGTGCAAACTGGGTCCAACTGGCTATTGAACGGCACCCTACTAACCGGCCCCTAACCGGGTACCAAATTTGAGGGCAATCGGTTCAGTTGTTCTCGGGATCTAGATGGGATCCCTGCACGTGCGCACGTGTAACAGCACCCCAACTGTGACATATGGGAATGCAGTGCATTGTGGGTGCGTACTGCCTACCCATGCCAAGTTTCAGCAATCAGCGCAATAACCCCAGTAATTACCGAGATGCTGCCATAGTTACAAAACTGACACCTCTTCGTTTTGCAAGTGGCACGAGCATAGGAGTCACCCAGATGCATCGGTAATAGGTAGTCTAATACTTGGTAGAAAGAATGGAGCTATCCTGCAAACATTACCGCAAGTAAATCGATCTATAGTGGTTGCGGTGCTACCTGCAGCTTCGCAAGAGCGTCGCCACGGCCGGCGCCGCTCATACTAAGAAATTTATTCTTGTTTCCGTAAGACTTGGCTCGCTCAAAATCACTTGCCGTGCCGCTTGACATGATCGGCGTTGTTCAAAACCCCAAGCACGTTTCAGGAAAGCTTATATGGCGTACGTCCCTCCAGGGTTTAACCCTATTCCTGGCGGGCTCCGCCGGGACAAGAAACTGGCGGGGGGCCGATTCGGCCCCCCCCCTTCAGATCTCAAAAACTACACATCGCAGCGACAAACGGTAAACGGCATCGGATACGCACGGTCAAGATCTACAATTTTTACTAAGGTCATTTTCAGGTCAGGTCAAAGATGACGTCACAGGGGTCGAAAAAGTCAAAATGGCGGCGCTAGATATGGAGAGAGTTTTTCTCGAATAACTTTCGAATTAGTCAAGATAGGAACAAACTAAGGGCATCATCGTGATCCTCTCGTCAATCCGCATCGAATGATATATATGTTGACCTCGAAAGGTCAAGGTCAAAGGTTGACCTCAGGTCACGTGACCTCGAGGTCATCATGTATATCATTCGATGCGTCTTGACGAGCTGAACACAATGAGACCATCCACGCGTCTGTATCTTGTTCCTGTACGGAGTTATTGGCCAAAAACCTTTGGTGACCTTTGATGACGTCACATGACCTCACAGCTGCCCAACAGCAAAACAGACCTCAAGGTAGTGAAGGTTGATCGTATATGAAGTCATGTATGGTATATGGGGCCATTCCGACCCGTTTTAGTGGTAAAAACAGGGAGTTGATTTTTCCCCCATTGACTTATTAATGGGGAGGTCGCGAAACTGACCTGACCTTAGGTCACCGATATCGAAATTCCGAGATATACAAATTGCACATACTGGTACCCTAACTAAAGCCTGAAGAGAAGAAATTGATCGGTCAAAAACTCTAGCTCTGGCGTGATTGCAAACTTTTCTGAGGTAGGGTCACCAAACCGCCTCTTGTGACCTGACCTGAGGTCAGATCAACTCAAAATTTTCAGACATGTTGCGTAGAAGCCTTTTAGGAAAAGTCAGAAAATTTGAGCTTCCTAGCTCAACGCGTTTGGGAGAAATAACCAAAAAACCTCAGGGGGGGGGCTTCTGAGGCCCCCCCCCCCGCCAGGAATAGGGTTAAGTGGTTGGTTGCCAGCATCACAATAATCCATCTGCATTGATGAATACGTATAATGGCTGTTGAAAACCACTGCTGAAATGTGTGCACGATTCACGAACCCTCTTCTCATTTCTATTGAGTCATTTTACAAGAGTGTCTGTCATTTAAAGTTATTGCACCAAAAGTACATATGTAGGCTAACCACCCACTCTTTTGCTGGAGGGCCGTATGTACATATAACGACAATACCTATCAACAGCATTTGTAGACGTTAGGTACACTTCGGTCAGTTGTTCGAAGCCTCACCTTCATTTCGGTGGTCCGGAGAGTGTTGAACTGCTTCTGAAGGCTGAGAACGTGGATGTGAAGCTGGAGCCACACGCCGTCTTATATACCCAGGACATGACCATGGGACGATTATCAAGGATGCACAGTCTCTAAAAATACCACAATAATTTCGGTAGTCGAGAAAAATGCTACTTAGAGATACGGTTCCACCCAGCAGAACAGTTAGCTGTTGCAGATTTGCATCAAATGTCCAATCAGATTTTTATATTAGGCGTGCCAATCGGCAGCGAGATAGGTATCATTTACCTACATTTATGTTGCAAAGGTTTGCAACTTAACCCGCGCCCCGCTGGGGAGGGGGGGGGGCAGAATCTGCCCCCCTCCCGTTTTTCGCCAATAACTTCTAAACGCGTTACGCCAGCGACGTCAAACTTTCAGTAGGGGAAGTTGGGGCAATGCCGGAGTTGGGGCAAAGCCGAAATTCGAGATATTTCGAAAACCGTACGACATGGATACCACCTGTCAGTGATGCTCTGAAGCTTAAGTGACTAACAATTATCGCATGTTTGTTACCAGTCGTCATTCGGAATACTTAGGCTGTGAGGGCGCCAAGAGCGTTTTCAAGGTACGTTTCCTTTGTACTACATGCGTCTTCGAAGCTGCATTTCCTACTCATTATGCTACCGTTTGTCTGGCCAATTCGGTCAAGTAATCTTCAGCACGTCTTTGCATAAGTGTGCTGCCTATTTGAAATTTATACAGCACGTTGAAAAGTTATGGGCCTGCAAATGAAAGTATGGCTGGCCGGGGTAATGCCGAAAACGTGCAATTACGCGCGTTAAAGCACGCTACGTGAACTTTACCGCTGTAGAATAGCAACGCGTATTTTAAGTCACACAAATTACACTTTTAACCGACACAACGGCCTGTTACCATAAGGAATGATTTACCTGGCCTTTTCTTATTACATCACACAATTATAACTTCCAGTGTGCACCAAGCGTCCTCAAGCTCTTAAAACGCTTGTCAGCTTTGACGAATTCTGGATAAAATTTGAGATAAAATAGCAAAACATCAATTTCGGCATTCCCGTAGATCATTTCTCCCATTTTCGGCTTTCCCCGCAGTCCGGGGCAACGCCGAAAAAGTCACTTCTTTGATATTTTTAGTTTGTGCGCTTGACGGTATGCGAATTCATCAAATGCGCCTGGTATGTTTGAAAGGCAAAAGACTGGCCTCTCGAATGACGCCAACAAGAAAAGCTTATGTTGTCTACCTTGCGTGCTACGGGCGTCAGAAAAAAGTATTCGGCGTTCCCCCAACTTCCCCTACCTTATCATACATCAATTTGACACGTTCCCTGAAAATTTGAGCGAAATCTGTCGGAAAATTTTTGAGAAATTGACCTTTTTAGTGACGTCATGTTCGCCATTTTCGCCTCAAAAATGGCAAAATTTCAAACGCCGCTAACATCTTCATTTTTAAAGGAATCAAGACGTAACAAAAAAGGTTATACGTGATTCTACTTTGACTATCAAATGGCTATCTCGGTTTTTTGAAAATTTTGAATTTTTGCCCAATTTTTTTTTTTCAAAAACTGATTTTTTGGGAAAATATTTATAAAATCCAAAATTTTGAGTGTATCGAAAAAACCGGAATATATGTCAAAAAAGTGGTCTATGTGCACCTACAATTACATACCAATTTTTAGAAGAATCGGTTCAAAAATGTGGAAGTTATTCAAAATTTTATGACGTCACGACAGACAAAAATTTTGAAAAATGATTTTTTGGAAGTTCTAGACCTCGTACGGAAACAAAAATAGCACCATTCGATTCGCCGTGAAAAACTGCATCAGATAGACACCTTTTTAAGCCTTAACAACCAACTTCAAAATTTGACCTCACTTGACCTGACCTTGATCCCTGACCTCGACCTGAAATTCATCCAGAGGTGGTCCATATCACTTATTGAGTGCGCCTATTGAA